GTATTCGTTTCGTTATGGTTTTGAGGTCGTTTCGTTATTATTTCCGCATGTCTGGGCCAGTTTTATGGTTTAATTAGTGAAAAAAAATTATAATATCACACCAACAGTCAACAACAGAGGGAGAGGGAAGCTTCAGAAGGTTTTGGAGGTTTTTTAGCGTATTTCGCGGTCGCGTCCGCCATTAACGAATCGATTCGTTATTGTTTCGGAAATCGATTCGTTAATTTTTTACCATTTACGAAATTTCGTAAATATCGAACTTTTTAAAAGGAAAATTTTGTAATTATTTTAAATATCGAAACAAAAAAAAAAACCCAAATACAAATCGATTTTAGAAACAAATTTTTCCGTTGTTACCCAGGCCTAGTGTCTAGATCTAGGGAAGTAATGCAACCCCTCTATTCTGCTTTGGTTAGACCACACCTGGAATATTGTGTCCAATTCTGGGCACCACAATTAAAGAGAGATATTGACGAAGCTGGAATGCGTCCAGAGGAGGGCGACTAAAATGATCAAGGGTCTGGAGAACAAGCCCTATGAGGAGCGGCTTAAGGAGCTGGGCATGTTTAGCCTGAAGAAGAGAAGGCTGAGAGGAGATATGATAGCCATGTATAAATATGTGAGAGGAAGCCACAGGGATGAGGGAGCAAGCTTGTTTTCTGCTTCCCTGGAGACTAGGACACGAAACAATGGCTTCAAACTACAAGAAAGGAGATTCCATCTGAACATGAGGAAGAACTTCCTGACTGTGGGAGCCGTTCAGCAGTGGAACTCTCTGCCCCGGAGTGTGGTGGAGGCTCCTTCTTTGGAAGCTTTTAAATAGAGGCTGGATGGCCATCTGTCAGGGGTGATTTGAATGCAATAATCCTGCTTCTTGGCAGGGGGTTGGACTGGATGGCCCCTGAGGTCTCTTCCAACTCTTTGATTCTATTATTCTATGATGACACCCATCAGCTCAGATGGAGCTCCATGGCCAGCTGAAAGCAGCAGCAATGGTGATAAGGAGGAGGTGAGAGTGGGTGTATTCTTGGACTACCTGAACAATGGCCCAAGATTCAGCATGAATATGCCAGGACTGAGACTGTTCCAGGGTACATTTAGCCCTTGTTAAACTGCCTTTTGTAATTAAAAAATCTTATATAAGCTTCTGTTTATCAATATATTGATATCATGGGTCTACTTTAATTGAGACAAACAATTGGAACACAACTCCTCTATAGTTTTTAACGTTTCACATGGCAGAGTAGAGGAATCAGGAAGATTTCCACAATGTTGCAGTTTTAAGTTATTCAGAAAGGGTGTGCACATTACCTACTATAGCCTACTTTTCTAGATTGTTGTCATTCATTCGTTCAGTTGTTTCCGTCTCTGTAACTTCATGGACCAGCCCATGCCAGAGCTCCTTGTCAGCCGTCACCACCCCCAGCTCCTTCAAGGTCAATCCAGTCACTTCAAGGATGCCATCCATCCATCTTGCCCTTGGTCGGCCCCTCTTCCCTTTTCCTTCCATTTTCCCCACCATCATTGTCTTCTCTAAGCTTTCCTTTCTTCTCATGATGGGACCAAAGTACTTCATCTTTGTCTTACTATCCTTCCCTCCAATGAGCAGTCTTTCTTCCTTCGCTCAGCCTTCCCTATGGTCCAGCTCTCACATCCGTAGGTGACTATGAGAAAAACCATTGCTTTAACTATGTGGATCTTTGTTGCCAGTGTGATGTCTACACTATTTTATCGAGATTGGACATTGCTCTCCTCCCAAGATGTAAGCGTCTCTTGATTTCCTTTTCTAGATAGAAGCACTATAAACATCAATTAAACTTAGTTTCTCATAAGGGGAACATCTCATTTGCTAGAATCTGTTCTAACAGAAAGTTAGATGTCTTTTCCTCAAAATGATACATTTATTTTCCCAACAGTGAAACAAAAGGTAGCAACAATTTCTCTCACATATCTAGAAATTAAAATTTACACTTTAAAAAGAGCACATCAATAAGAGTCTTTTTGATAATAAAGTCATACCATGGTTTACTTGATTTTTTGGACAGTCTTTTTATTTCCTTCCAAAGTCACAGAGGAAAAATATCTGTATAGATGTATCTACACATATATTCATCTCAGATATAAAATCTATGTGACTGATGACTTCGGAAAGGAAAATAAGATTCATTAAAGCAAGTTACAACTTGCCTTTGAATAGTGATTTGCAATTTGGGAGCAATTTCCTTTGAAATCATTAAAACTTTACAGCCAAAGTATTTTACTCTCCTTGAAAAACTGGCTTATTACCTCATCATCAGAGGGGGTAAAAAAAGTAAATTTTTTGAAAGAGACTTGTTAATGGCCTAGGCAACGACATAAAAAAACCCCAGCATCTCTCTAGCTGTAATTGATAGCTGTAAAGTTGATGCAGCATACAATTAAAGTAAGATAAAAGTCTGGTTAAATCTGTTCAAGGTTTGCTATGCCAAATAGCTTAGAAACTTTCAAAACTCCCAAAATAGAGAGAAAGATTATTTCTTTTATCTGAAATAGGAAAAGAAGAAAGTACTTTCACTGATTCAAATCATTAGACTATCTAAGCAGGATGGTCGTGCCTCTCTGGGACTTTCTGGATTTATATAGAAAATGCTGTTGCAGTTATTAGGAGTATTAAGGTAAGGCATAGTGTATGTATGTAGTATGTATTATATGTTATTAGGTAAGGAACTGTCATGAGGGGCTATGAAGAGATGGGAGAGGATGGCTTTCTCTGAAAGAATAAAATCCAGGACATCTAACACTAATAAAAAAAATACGAGCTCGAAACATAAAGCAAACTAACTGAAACTTGAAACAACTTTGAAAACAATATACTACAATCCCCAGATTTGTGAGGATACTTTCTGAATGTATCATGGAAATAGGAAATCATGTATAATAGTAATCGCCTTTGGGCAATCTGACAACTAGATATGGACAACCAGATGGATAGGACTGAAAGGACTGACAATTGTGGAATTGGAATTTGAACTATGAGTTTTGAAACATGACCGTCAAGGAAGAAATGAGAGACAGAGGGAGGGAAAGAAAAAGGGGGAAGGAAGGAAGGAGAGAAGGAAAGAAAAAAGGGAATGAAGGAAGGAAAGAGGGAGTGAAGGAAGGGGGAAGATGTAGAGAAAGAGGGAGGGAAGGAAAGAAGGAAAGAGAGAAGGAAGAAAAGAGACCAGAAGAGAAAGAAAAAGGGGGAAGGAAGGAAGGAGAGAAGGAAAGAAAAAAGGGAATGAAGGAAGGAAAGAGGGAGTGAAGGAAGGGGGAAGATGTAGAGAAAGAGGGAGGGAAGGAAAGAAGGAAAGAGAGAAAGAAAAGAGACCAGAAGAGAAAGAAAAAGGGGGAAGGAAGGAAAGAGATAGAGAAGGAAGAGGAGAAGGAAAGATGGGAGGGAAGGAAGGAAGGAGGGAAAGAAGGAGAGAAAGAGGGAAGGTTGGCCACAGCAACACGTGGCGGGTAAAGGTTGTTATTTCTATTATTATGATGCTATTATTCCTATTAGACCCTGGGGGAATGGGAGAGGTGTCAGGTCCCAGAGGCAATGCATTGCATTATTGTTATTGTTATGATGGTGGTGAAATAAAAGGAAATAAAAAGTGAAAGAAGGAAGCAAACAGGGAGGGAAGAAAGGCAAAGAAAGAAAGGGGGAGGGAATGAAGGAAAGAGAGAAGGATGAAACCAAGTAGTGAAAGAAGGAAAGAAAGAAAGAGGTAGAGAAGGAAGAAAGGAGAGAAAGGGGGAGGAAAAGGGGGAAGGAATAGGTAGGTACCTCTCTTTCATAATAGTCCAGATATCTACCTCAACTTTGATAAGTTTTACTATAGGCCACAGCAATGCGTGGCAGGGCACAGCTAGTGGCTTTATAAACAAGCCCGTTGATATAGCTATGGATGTTCCAAACCTCAAACCATTCAGTTACTGATATTTGGCAGGAATAGTCCTATTTATTTATTTATTTATTTGGTAGTTTTGTATACAGGTCTTCTCACCTCCATTCGAGGGACTTGGGCCAGTTTCCAACATCAATATTACAGACAGTCATTAAAACATCATATTTCTAAATCACACTAAAACATTAAAACATTGAAACAATCAAAATGGCAGAAATACAATCATATGATTACAGTGGTCAGTCGTCATCAAAGTCATTATTCGTCGTCATCCATCCATATCACAATTAATCTTTTGCCATCCCAGTTTCTCAGCTGATTTTAAAATGCCCAGTTTCTCCTCCCCTTTGTTTTTCTTAGGCTTCAGCTGCTGCACTTTGAGTTCAAAAGGTGAAAGTAATTTGCAATGATTTCAATAGGGAGAATAGGAGATGAGGGGGTGGATTCTTGCCCTGTGTCCAGTAGGCTCAGATAGAAAGCAAATTGTTACAGGCTCTTCTCGGTTGTGTGTTTTTCAATTAATTTTTTCATATTGACCACATTCAGACATCACTTGGCCACACATGTTCCATTTTTTCATCTGTGAACTGCTGGAGAGCATGCTAACAGTTCGATTTAGGATTTTACATATCTTTTAAAAATGTGATTCTTGGATGCTGCAGGTTCTGCTGAGGGATTTGATGACACAATGTCAGCAGCATATCATTTAAATGAGCAATCCTACTCAGTGGCATACTGATTTAGCTTAGAGATTAAGCTGATTATTTTCATTGTATCAGTTTTTCATTGCAGTTATGCGAAATGATTACACTGAGCCACTGAACGGTAGCATGTTTGGCTGAAATCCCATGGCTTAGTCCCCAGAAGAGATTGAGCATTCCTTCCAACACACTGAAAGTGTCCATGTCAGTAGAGCCACTTATTAAATACTTTAAAAGTGAAATCTATCAGGCAGTTCATGAGCCTTAATTGTGATAACACTTTATTGCTGCTTAGACGATTAAGTACTTAAATTAGCAGGTAACGGGATCTATATTCTTAATGGCAAGGAAGTGCTAATCATGACTTCACTAAATCTTTCAGCCCTGTTCCAACAATCTCCTGGAGGAAAGTTAATGGCCCCAATCCAAGCAAGGCTCGCCTGCGGAAGTCCCAAGCTGTCCTCGAAATCCCAAATGTACAGCTAGAAGATGCCGGGACATACGAATGCAAGGCTGAAAATTCCCGGGGAAGAAATGTCTTCCGAGGACAGCTGCAAGTTTATAGTATGTTTTTGAAGTTTCTATCATGAAAGTGGTGACACTGCTCAGTATTTGCTCCTGTGTGCAAATTGATGTGATCCATCATAAGCTTGCAGACATCTACCATATATATTCATGAATAAGTTGACCTTGTGTATAAGTCAAGGGCAGGTTTGGGGCCAAAAGTACTGTATGTACTCAAGTATAAGCCTAGTTTTTCAGTCCCTTTTTAGGTTGAAAAAGTCGTCCCCCCCCCCCCCCGGCTTATACGTGAGTCAAGGTTATTTGTTATTTTACTTTGTTCAAAATATATAATAAATATATTATTATTATTATTATTATTATTATTATTATTACATTGATTATTTTACTCTATTATTGTTGTTATTATGACAGTGATTATTTTACTATATTATTACTGTTATTATTACATTTCCATTATTTTAGTTTATTATTATTATTAAATTGATTATTTTACTCTAGTTATTTTTATTGGAAGGATACGCAAGCACATTTACATTGAAGAAGGTTAGAATAATGGTTTAATCAGAGTTGGACAGTCCTATCTTAAATTACAGTTTTATTTAAATATTGAAAAACATTTAACCTACTGATGTCTCTATTAATGTAATTGTATTGGTATCAATTTTATATTGAAATTTACCAGTAGCTGCTGCATATCCCACCCTGGGCTTATATTTGAGTCAATAATTTTTCCCAGTATTTTGTGGTAAAATTAGATGCCTCGGTTTATATTTGGGTCAACTTATACTCAAGTATATATGGGGTATGTATTTTGACAAGGCACATGGGCCATTCCTCAGAGAGGTGAAAGCATCAATGCCATCTCCAGATATCATCCACCTTTGACCATTGCTACCATCTCCCAGTTGTTATAAAGGCAAGAAACAGTACCATGGCAGAGAGTGCTTTTTTAAGGTTCATCTGAGATGAAATAAAGTTCTTGCTTTTCACCCCTCTACTAAGGGATGGTACATTTTTGATAATATTTAAGATACATTACTCACATTGACCCATGGATGACCCAGGTCTTTGGAATTGATTTTTAACTAAACATTCTATATTTATATCTGAGTATATAGGGTAGTTTTGGACTCTGCAGAAGCTGTGAATCCAGTGCAATTTCCCTTCGTAGAATTTGTAGGACAACCAGTAGAATACCAGATTATTTGAACTTGTTTGTGTTTTTGAGATTTTCTTGGAGGACTCTCCTTCCTTGACTCTCATAAATAGATTTAGTGAGAGAGGTGCTTCCCCCAGGCTCTATAATTTCCTTTCCAGAGAGGCTAGACTTACATCCTCCTTACTCTGTTTCCACACCAAAGTGAAGACCTTTATGTCCTTTATGACTTTTAACAAAGGTGAAATGGACTTTATATAATGCTTTAGGCTTTTATTAGATATGTGTGTTTTCATATATGCATAAGATAGCTTTCATTTTTGAGAATTTAATAACTTAATAAGTTCATTTAATAGTTTAAACTTTCACAAGCTGTGAATTTTCTAACTATGCCTTAACTGTTGTAAGCTATGTTGAGTTCCCAATTGGGGAAATGTTGGAAAAACGGAGAGCCAGCACATTGATTTTTTTAGGCTTAACATCCTCTGCATGCTTAGCTGCAAGCCATGCTGAACACAATGGGATTAGATCAGAGATGGGGATTCTGTAGCCCTTCACATGTGTTTGGACTTCAACTCCCAGAAGCCCTGGCCAGTATAGTGAATGGTGAAGGTGAGGAATCACCATCCAACAACGTAGAGAAGAATTCTCACCCCAGGACAAGATAGATAAAGAGACAATTAGGTATTTTTCTGTACTGTGTTTCAGATCCAAAGATAGCTTCTTAGGTTTCGTACAACAATACCCTTGGTAATAACAGTAGCAGCAACAAAAATGTGATTTAAAAGAATACTCAGAGCACAAAGAAAACAGCTTTTTACTTCTTCCTTGTTTCTAATAGTAATGGCCTAACTACACTGCATAACCTAATGAGTGCTAACTTCAATCCCTTTTAACGTAATTGTAATTTAGAACTCATTTTACTTAAAATGACATTTGAAATTCATTGTTTCACAAGTATCTGTCAGGGGTGATTTTAATGCAATACACCTGCTTCTTGGCAGGGGGTTGGACTGGATGGCCCATGAGGTTTCTTCCAACTCTTTGATTCTATGATTCTATGAAACCAGAGCACCTTTCCTTATTTTCCTGTATCAGGATATCACAGTATAACTGGTTGTCAGTATTAAGTAGGGTGCCACTGCATGAGATCAACTAAACCACCTCAATGGATTTTGGACATTCCACAAAACATCTACAGTGAACTGGATCAAACTTGTTACAAAGTGCATGTTTCACCCAACGTCCCAGCGCCCAAAGCCCAAATGCAAAAGACTCACAGACCAGTAGTAAAAGTGAACAGAAAAACTGTACTCTTTACTTTGCAGAGTTGAAACAAAACTGGCAATATTACATACAAAAAGTCAAACAGTGCAACGTATTTACACAGTCTTTGTAAGGAACACAAAAGAAGGCATCTTCATCTTTACAGCAAATGGGAGATTAAAAAAAACCTGAAGGAAATGGCTATTTCACCATAGCCTCCTAAGAGTAGCTTCTCCAAACTTCTCCCCAAAGCCAAGCCTTTGTCCATAGGTCTCCTCAGAGAAAAGGCTGTCCAGAAGCTCTCCATCAGAAGCTCTCCATCAAGATCTCTCCTTCAGCATCTCCTGCTGGAACTCCTGCTAGTTAACCAGAATGTATTCAAGAAAACTCAAACAGATATAGCCCCTTGGGTGTGGTACAAGATTGCTAGTTGACCTACTTTCCCAGCTGAAGAAGATAATTATCACTCATAAGGTTTTTCTTCACACACAAACTTGGTCCTGCAAGGACTTATCACAACAAAACTGAACTGACAAATTGAGCATGATGAATGCAAATCAGAACATTCCCCTGAATGAAAGGCCATAATAGGGCATACATTTAATAAACAAACAAACATCATTTAAAATAATATGAAATGTCAACCTTCACATTGTTAGATGTTCAGTGTGTTCTCAGGGCGCTTCCAGACTGTCTTCAAAATATAGTTTTAACTATATTTTATGTTGTTGGGGGCATTGATTGCCGATTGTAAACCACTTCGAGTCACATTTGGGTTGAGAGAGGCGGTATATAAATATGGTAAATAAATAATAAATAAATTGAGTTTTTAAAACCTGCTTTGGCATTGATTTGAGTACCTCCCCTCTCCCCCCCCCAAAAAATAGGGGTTTCCTGAGTTGGGGTGTCTACATGCCATTCTGATAACAATTGAGATTGTATGCAGCCATCCCTAAGGCCCCCTAAAACAACTCCATGTTTCTTAAAAAAAACATACCCAGCCACCATTATCTTCATTCTCATACCTTCCTGGCGTGAGGAAATTTTGCACCAGGTGGAGGGAGAGGTGGGTGTCCTCTCCTTTTTTCAGGCTCCTGGAGCCCAAAAAACCTGAGATGACTGTATTACTTGGGCCCAGTGATCACGTGATGCAGCCCTTGGACCCAATCCACACTGGGCCCACACCTGATATGACCTGGATCTTACCTAAGATCTGGGTCTTACCAAGTGTTCAGTTAATTTGGAACAAAGCAGGGAAACTCTACTTTGTTCCAAATTAATTCAGTTTTACCAGAGGCATCATTTGGACATTGGCAGTAAAACCAAGACAGGGCTCGGTTTTAAGGCCTATCTGGATGGACCTTCAGGTTATCTGCATTACTATGTTCCTGCACATTCAGACATCAACCTGCCTCGTCGAATGGCTTTTGGTTTCCATCTACAGGCTCCTAGCTTACAGTCTAAATACATGCTTGATTTATATTCTTTGTAACCAACATTCCAGGCAGAACTGCTATTCCTTTCTTGCAGCCTCTCAAAACTCTGATTGGTGGCTGATGAAATACCAAATGGATTATAAGATTTATTTTAAAGTGCAGTCCACCACAAGGCTTTTATTAAAGTGCTTTATTGATTTTGTTCTGTCCAAAATAGATCCTTCACTGTGCTAACTCTCAGTTACTAACCAACCCTGCCATAAGTATTAGTCTGCATCTCTTGATGTCAAGGCCATTGACTCCGTATACACCACAATGTTGTACAGTACAGATTTAAAAGCTTTCCTCTTCAGTGCTTTGGATTAATGAGTTAAGCCTTATTAATTTAAGAGGGTTTACTTTTTTTGCTTGGGAATTGGCATCTATTGAATAGTTATTAAGGTCTCCAGCTCTGTGCATCAAATGTTATTGCTAAAACCTTGTATTAGTTTAAAGAATGATATTTGGACCTAGGTTGATAAGCCTCCAGGGCTAGGAACTCTTCAGACAGAGGGAAGCAGTAGAAAGTAGTGGCTTCCATGTCAGTGGGGCCATGAAATTTCTCTGAGTTTCAGGCTGTAAAGAAGAATCCCAAGGTGCTGAACCCAACCTTTAAAATAAAGCATAATTCTCCAAAGATTTATTAGAAAAATCCCAAACTGGCAAAAATATTTGCCACTAGGACTTATAGTGTGTAAAATTCACTTGTGGTTTGCACAGGAAGTACATTTCCTATAAAAGACATGGCTTTTTCTGCATGGAAAATAGAATTTTACTACTTCATCACACTTGAGCAGTGGTCCTCAACCTGTGGGTCTCCAGATGTTTTGGCCTTCAACTCCCATAAATCCTAACAGCTGGTTAACGGATTGGAATTTCTAGGTGTTGTAGGCCAAAACACCTGGGGATCCACAGGTTGAGGACCACTGCACTAGAGAATGAATCCATTTAAGTCCGGTTTCTTCCTTCTGCAGAATTCTGGGGTTTATAGTTTAGTGAGGCTGTTAAAGACTTCTCCCTAAACTACAAACTCCAGAATTCTGCAGGATGCAGCAATCAGATTTAAAGTGGATTCATATTATGTATAGGAATTAATATTTCTACACTAAATACCTCATCACCCTAGTGTGATGAGGTATTTA